GCTGAGCCTGTGAGGGATGCCTTGATCTTACTCCACTGGTCCTCCCTGCACGCAGTTTTTCAACAGATGAACAGCATACAGCATTGCAGTCGCAGGCACATCCCCAGCTCGGTGTGCAATTGCTACATTGCAGTAGTTGGTGGAAAACGTACGAGAAGGGAGCAGAGCTGCCATCTTTCATCAGGTCAGGAGTAGTCAGACACAGTAGAGCGTAGCCGTTCTTTGCTTCAACATTATCCTGCAACTTCACGGAACCGCCTGGTTCAGCAGAGGCTTGTGTGCAGGTAACGACTCGACAGTCAGCAATGGCACTCTCTGAAGGGTTGTACATTGCAACAAAAGAGACGTTCTCTGGTTTGTTGTAGAGGTCTTCTCCATCAGCCTTCGATGGAGGAAGGGAAGTGAAGTTGTTGAAGGCGTCCTTCCAGTGGTCAATTGCGGCTGTGCAGTCCGCCTGCTCCGTTGATAAGGCCATGAAGGCGTATGTACTGCTCTTAAATTCGCTCGTGCCTGTGCGGCTTTCTGGTTCTTCTGAGTCATTCTGAAAGGATAAAAGCAGGTACCAAGAAACAGGCCAACATGAAGTAGAGACAGGAGTTCGAAGGACGAATGCCATAAGGAAAGACACTTACTTTTATCAGGGCTTTACAAACAGTGTCCCATGGGTTGGCGGCTGTCTGATTCTTTTGTGATCCAGTTGAAGGCCACATATCCTCGGTGGACTCTTTGAAGTGTGAGAGTCCAGCGGCTTCACGGGCATCGTTGATTTCGTCGAGGCACACGGCAGTCTGGCCTGCATAAACACGAACAAATCAGACATCCTAAGCCAAAATGTATGAATACTTATACTTACAAAAGTGGTGTGGGGCCATTTAATGCCCTTCGAAGGACTTCTTTCATTCCAAGTGCCACTCAACCTCCAGCACAACTCATCGCCTCCAACGCATTTACTTCGGACCACCACAAGGCTGAAACCCTCCATAGCAAACAAGTATTTGCCGACATACCGAGTTTTACAGTGTAGGTTGAAGATCCTTGACCCGCTGTCAATGAGCCTTGCTTTGCCGTTTGATGGACGGCGTTGACCATCAGGAACGCAGACGCAGAGGCGAGCGAAAAAAGTTTAAGGGCCGCCATTCTCTCAGTATTGAAGTTGAAAATGTGAACCAGAAAACGGGAAGAACAGGGAAAGTTTCGACCAGCTTCAAGTGCAGACGTAACACTATGCTATGCAGTGTGTGTGCAGGACGACGCGGCGAGGCAGCGGACTGGGTCTGGCCCATCCGGTCCGGAATAAGGTCATTCTGCTTATGCTCTGGAGTTCAGTTTACGACGTTTTTATTGTTAAAAATGCTTCAATGAGGTATTTCAATAATTATTGTCTACACAGATACCCGTGAAGCCACTGAACGCGAGGCGGAACGCCATCGGAAATGCCTGCCATGCTGGGTGAATCGGGGATGGTTAGGGCCCAGGCCCCTTGTGCTCAATTCATGTTGTTCTGTCTATGTACCAACTCCTTATAAATGACCCGAGTAACTAATGAACGTTTTCAGTACACAATCTTGAAACGGTGGCTCTCCGCTCTTATGGCCGTGCTCCAGGGAGTTGTATGTGACCCGTCGTACGGGGGGCGAGTTGCCCCGCGTCGACGCTTTCAAAGCTTGTGCGCCAGAATATAGAAAGGGAAAACGCTAAAGGCGGCTACTGTCTTACCAAAATCTTCAGCTTCCCCTCCGTATCTCCCCAGCCTAAAAATTGCAAACTCCGGCGGCCGCTAGACTTACGGCTCTCGTCCTTAACACACACGCACGCAAGGCGGTATGCATGAGCAGATGTGCGGAAACGCCCGTGCAAGCATGCAGTGACGCACAAAGCGCTGGATGGATAATCGGAGAGTCATAGTGCAGGTCAACTAAAAGTGAAAAGGAAGCAGTACGTAGGATTCCTGTCGGCGCAACAAGAGCGACCGAGAGAGACAAGCATTTGCTGCCCATAGAAATGAAAGGGGCTGAGAAGGCCTGTCAACAAGTGGCGCATGCAGCGCAAATCCAACAGGCGCAAGCAGGAGTATATAGGGCGTGTGTTGAAAGCTTTCCCTAGCCTCAGTCCTCTGGATACAGCGGGAAGCAAACACCTGCTCTACACGCCATTCAGAGTGTCCGTTCTGAAGGAAGGAAAATGTGAATAAGACGCTGCGGAGCGCGGTTTTGCCTGAATAGTATCGGCAGCCGCGGGGTGCCATGGAAAGAGAACTGCTTTAAAGGGCCAACAAGCCGAGGGACGCAATAGCAACGATAATCAGACTCGGTGCAGCAGCAGAAGCAGAGCCTGTGAGGGATGCCTTGATCTTGTTCCACTGCTCTTCGCTGCGCGCAATTCGCCAACAGGTGAATACAAGACAACACTGTATTCGCATCCACAAGCCCAGCACTGTAGCCAACTATCGTTTTGCAGGAAATGTTGCCAACTTACGTGAAGGGAGCCTTCGTGTCTGTAAGGGCTTCAGGTGTGGTCATGCACAGTAGAGCATAGCCCTTCTTGTCTTCCCCACTGTTCCGGAAGCTTCCTGTTGATTGTTCGGAAGCTGCTGGTAGAGTGCAAGTAACGACTCGGCAGTCAGCAGCAGCACTCTCGGAAGGGTTGTACATAGCAACGAAAGAAACGTTATGCTGCTTCTCGTAGATATCCTTTTCTTCTTCAGACTTCGCCGGAGGGATTGTGGTGAAGTTGCTGGCGGCGTCCTTCCAGTGGCTCACGGCGGCGGCGCAGTCGGGCGTCTCCGATTCCAAGGCCATGAAGGCATACGTTCCAGCTTTAAATCCGTCTGTTTTTCTTTCTGGATCTTCTGAGTCTGCCTGGAATGAAAAACGCACGGAAGAAGGAATGAGACAGCATGAAGCAAAGAATACGTGGTCGAAGATGGAAGGCCATAAGGAAAGATACTTACTGCTATCAGAGCGTCACAAACAGGATCCCACGCAGTGTTAGGCTGTTGCTCTTGCTGTGTCTCATTAGGCAACTGGTGATCTTCA